GATCTGCCATATTAGATATTTACCATGAAATTATCTATATAATTACTTTCACTATTTTCCTCTATATATTGGAAGTAAAAAAGGTATTTTGGGACATAATTTCTTTTCATATATAATTATATGATAAACAGAATAGTATATATTGTGCTTTATTATATAGTTCGGATGTAACACACGATTTCATTGACTAAAAAGCGGGCCATACTTTCCCGTACGGACCAGATGAAACGAGATAAAACGTTTTTTATCTTAAAAAGACTCGCTTCTCTCTTTTTGTAGTTGTACTGTATAAAAAAAGAGTCAAAAATGAATCCAAATTTTGCCATCAATGTCTCTCAGGCTTTTCTTTTTTCCTTCTATTTTGAATGACAAGAAAGGTACGAACAAAAACGTATTTTTATGTCCAACTCTCTATTAATTTTAATGTTTTTCCCTGAAAATGCTATATATTAATCTCGCTTGCTCGAGCCGTACGGGAAGTTATGGAACCTAGTTTTTTTTTCCCTTTTTATGGCACTCGCGCTACGCGCTCTGACCATAAGTCAGTGGAAAAAAACTCGGTCCATAACTTCCCGTTCGGCCCTCGCGCTCGGTTAATACGATATTATTATTTTGCACTTTTTTATCTCTCGTTTGGGTTTATCACACTTTGATATATACCCTTTGACTTGCAAACTTTGTTTCACGGGTTGCAGTGATTTTTAGTCACCCATGAAGTACTTTTTAAACGGTGTCTTTTTCCAGTATCACATTTTTAAACTMTGACTGATACACTTTGTTACACGATAATGAAAACCGCTCTTTAAGCAATAAAGAATGGAATGGTGTGTGTTCAATGGTGAAATAATGGACACGGGGTTGTTGGGAGAACACGCAAAAAGACACAAAAATCCCGAGCGGAGCGAGCAATCAATCCTTTATTTCTTTCTTTTATGATGTAGGAAGTTAGTCATGCTGGCGASCGTACATTTATATTTAATACCAGTGAAATAAATATTGCAGCACTCAGAGCGTTCGTACTTTAAAAATAAATATTCTTAAATCACCGCTATTACAGTAGTTTCCGCACTTTATTTCACGCTCGCGAAGGAATGCGTTTCTTTTTGGTGTACATTTATATGAGAAAATAAGTATTACATAGCTTATCAATGTCTATCAATACTGACTATCTCACATCGTTTTATCTCTCTAATCTATCGGAATAWGAAACAATTCTGAACAATTACTAAATAATAATAATAATATAGTTCTATAGTGATTTACAGAACTGCTAAAACTCGGAGTGATGTCATTTTAAAAACCAACACAAATTGACTATTAAAGTTTGATAGTCTAATAGTCCAAAAGAAAATGATCCAATTAGAGCGWACTAAGGTGCATTTAACTAATTCACTTTTTTTTAATTCACTCAATACAGAACAGAAAACAAGTTTTTTATTTATTTATTTTCGTTTATGMACTTATCGAGCTTAGGGTCAACGTGTTTCTATTAGCGCATTGGTAACATTTTCACAGTCCGGTGCAAACAAATTTAAAAGATTTTCGTCGAGACAATTACTAATAGCCAGTGCCTAATTAGTTCTAATGGTCATACACCAAAAAAAGAAAAGGAACGGTTCTTTGCGACTTTGCATGGCAGTTTATGTTGAGTACAGACCGGAGAAAATCCAAAATCAACTCGATTTATCGATGGCAATATATCATATCTATCGGCAATTTTTATTCTGGACATAAGTGTAAAGCGGATCTGAAAGCATGCTTTAGCGCGTTCGGAAAACTAATCCTACATCAACCAAAGTAAGTCAATGTTGTGCCATAGTTAATGATTTAGTGAACTTCTCCTCAAAGGTCAGTACCTACAGGAAATACTAGGTCACGTGCCTAACTGTGTGTCATGTCAATCAACTCTCTGTTAGATGATATCTAAAAACTTATTACGAAACGACTTTAAGTGTATCAGACAGGCTCCTCTACGCTAACCTTTATACTCAACAATTTATATATTGTCTGTTTGAACTTGRATTTTATTCAAATTTGTGCAGAATAAGGGACCCGCATGGAAGCTAACTGCTTTGTTGGTCAGTGAGAAAGTCGTAAACGATGGAAATTCCTGAGGATGTCTATAGTTTCCACGCGCCGTCGCATGGTGAGTTTAGAGACGCGTCCTCACAAGTCTCGCAAAGCCCGCCAAAACTRCCTTGAAGAGTACTATCAAAGGCTAGTATTTTGAATTTATGCTTKATTTTATTTTCCAGTGAGTGATGGTATTTCTACTGGACTAGATTTGGATTATGATATATTCTGTAACGATGCTTCGCAACAAGGGTAAGCTCTTCGTCTTCTTATGCTTGCAACTCAATACCGTGTAGGGTTCAAGTTTACCTTACGAAAAAAAGCGCTTCATTTCTGCAATGGCGACTTGTCGAGGCATGCAAGCGAAAAAATCCCTCTTCGCTTATTGCTGAAGTTTGAATGAAATCCTTCAGCAAACATTGAAAATACCTAAGTCAAAATAATTACTTTGATAGAGAATTATCATATCTATTTTTAACATAATACAGAAGTACTCTTCTTGAATTTCAAATATGATTTGAGACTCTTTAAAAACTTTACWTTTTTGTCGAGTTTGGAGTGTTTACACTCAAGAGTTTTTCACTTACATTTACAAATTTATTATCTTATTGTAAACTCATTTGACTATAATACAACTGACTTTTAAGTATGTTTGTACTTACGGCTTGCTCTTCCTTAAGCCCACAAAGAAACGTTASAACTTGAACCAACATCTTAAAATTATTATGTTAGCGGAAAGTAACTATCCCAGCGTCATTTGAAATKATTTCCAATTTAGATTTGGTCGTTAATTGTTTCTTTAAGTAAACAAATTAATACAAAAAACGTTTCAATGACTGTTGGCGAAGGATTTAAAGCYATTCAAATCAAAACTACATGTAGGTCTTGCGGAATTGCGAGGGGTTAAACCACATATGGCGCTATGCATGTGTGCAGAATTTGASGAGCTATTTCCGAATTCAAAGTCAAAGTGTAAAAACCCATGCTCAGCAAAACTATAAGTTTGTTCGCGACTCGTTTTTAATGCATCAATTGGTTTGTTTTTTGGATCACTTAAGGACTTAGAAACAAGACTTAAAGAATGATTAAATCTTATGTTATATTTAAAGTGGCTCAAACTCGCTAGTTCAGCAAAATACATGGCTTACGGCGATTGGGTGTTTTCACACAAACGAAAAATCCGTCCAAGGCGGAAAAACCGTGTCAGCGAGACCATGAATCGAGAAAATGGGATTATAAATATATAATTCTCCATGATGAATTCTGGCTGCAATTTTCCGTTYCACAGGAACGATACTGCGTTTATTTTAGCAGACTTTTTATCCGATTATACGGAGTTAGATAAGCACTAAATTGGATTTATCAGAGAAACATTTTTTTGTCTTATAGTGTATTGATTTTTGTTGCACTGTATATTTCATGTTCATAGATTGGATGTATAGACTCCAAATAAAAATTATTGCGCTCAATTTAATTGGCTTTAGCTGCACCATATATTTCATGTTGATAGATTCGAATAAAAATTATTGAAAAGAAACGAAGAAAAAAACTGCATTGCATAGAAAAATTGCACATTTAGCGACAATTCCGATTGCTGAAGAGAGCTTATTCCAATACTCCAGTTTCAAGATCTTATTTGTGCAGCCTTAACCTGGAAAGCATGTAATATATTCTTTTATTCAGCAGAGATCCTATTGTAATGCAAACACTCTGTGTACAAAGAAGACAATAAAAATTTATGCTTGATTGAAGCTAAGCTTGCACAATAGTAAATTCGAAACTGGACTATTCCAAAACTTTGTGTATCTTCGTATCAATGCTAAAAGGCCAGGTCAATATCTGTTGCAGGTAATTATGCCTGGTCTGTGTCTTCCATAGAAAGCAATTTAGTTCAGAATTATCATATTGTAGTGCCAGTCACGTGGAACCCAATTGCAATGATGCATTTCGGCGATGGTATAGACATAGCAGGTTTTTTTAATGCCACAGGTATCTTGAAACAAAATAATAGCTGGTCATATTTGACCTTGTGAAAAGATCCTTCGCGTGATAGTTCCTCGATGTATAGACTGTTCTTCGCGCACCACACCTTCAGTTCTTTACCTTTTGCAAACTATAGAAACCTCTGTTAACTATCGGTCACCCTCTACTTGATGGTCTCTATTAAATGTCACAATTCGCGATTCAACCTCCATACATCGGCCAACCTCTTTTAAACGACCACTTTGGAAAATTACGAGGCTTACCGGTGCATATTTTGATGCAGATCGTTGCAAGCAATTTTAATTTTTGTGTAGAGGCCTCGCCTAACTAATGCTTCAGTGGAAATGCTTAAGAAACCAGACTTATAAGCCATCGATAGCGTTATCGCCATTGAACAGTTGTTTATCTAATAAACAAAACACAAATCCGAAGACAATCGTTTCAAAATTGAACTTTTCATCGGCTTCTTCCTACGCACTCCAAACTGCCAACATCCGGCCACTAGAATAATAAGCTTATAGCCTTCTTTTTGTACGCTAGTATAGTTGTCACACAAGTTCTGTCCAGTGCATGAGAAGTTCGATTTCTTGAGTCATTTAGTCCCAGTTCAGACGTCCATCTTTTGTCGCGTCTGATTTAATCTCTGGAGTTGAGTTTATGAGCATTTTCGTTCTAGAATTTATCGACTTATGTAGATTTTGTTCAGTTGAACGAACGTATTTTAATCGAAAGATTTCAATTGCTTTAGATTGCAAACCTCTCGTGAACTACTGACAAGTAATGAGATTACACACGGCGTTAGAACCAGGCCATACTTTATTCATGTCTTTTGTCGAGTACTTGAGAAAATTCGACGTCTAAATTAATTGAGATCAATGGATTTGATAACCAAAGGTTTTAATTCAGACGTCCCCCAAAAAACTTTCTTATTACAGTTCCCGACCCCAAAGGCAGCACTTTTTGATCCCTGAGATCACTAGAATGATAAAAATGTGATTCCAAGATTTGATCCAAAAAAAAAAAAACATTGATCCCTGATCCCAAAAGTAATATTAATATCACATCCCATATACCTCGCTACCCCGTTTCACAAAGTGTTAGCCAGTGCCACAGGTTAACAAAATGTCCTCTTACGAGAGATTTAGCCATGTGCTTTCAGCAAAAATATTTTTATAAAATTGACAAGGAATTTAGCATTATAAGTGCGTGCGTGGAATTTGATGTCAATTGACTCGAAGATCGACGTAGGACTGAACCTTAGTTATTCAATCAATATTTATTTTGACATTGAAAACTCACCTCTTTGTCCAAATAAACGATGTGTGTGTTTTCGTCTGGAACAGAAACGCGGCTCTTTTGAAAATATACATCATGAAAATATTATGGTGTCGTTGTCGATAACCTATATTCATTCACAACAGCATCCCCCATCCCCCCCTTTATTTAATACTTTAAAATGCGATTATTTATCAGTTCCGGGGGAGGGGAGGTACTCCAAGACGAACAGGAGCACTAAGTATGATCAAGCACCATTGAATTGCCCTATTTCATTATGACGTCACAGTATGTTTACATCGGATAACGATGCTCCAAAACAGCGGAAATTTGGACCCATTTATATTGTCGACTAAAGTAGAACTTCAGTGAATCGTGTTTTAATATATATCATTTATAAATGATTGCTCATGTACATTTTATTTGATATGCAGTCACTCTGATCCCTTCTGGCGACCATAATCCTTAGCGTTAAAACAATAGAATGTTTTGATGTGACGTCATAATGAACTACGGCAATTCTTGTGGATTGCTGATCAGTTCATAGTAACCCGGAACTCTCAGGATCACATCTGAGTAGGGCCGAATATTTTTATGAAAATAGGTCTTTTGAGCTATGATTTTTAAAGCTTATTAATAATTTATGAGCTATTAATCCATTGGGTCACATGATTGATCCTGAATAAATATTGAATAATGAAAGAGCACTGATGCCTTATCAAAATCAAAACACGAATATTTAATGCAATTCAATGTATTATCAGATTTAAAACACTACAGATGACTCAACACCATCAAAGGTCTCCATTCTTAGACACCACACGACGTCATCTAATTCTAAAATCCATCATTTTCCATACAACAAATATCTTATTGGTCGTTCTGTGTGCTAGACTATCACAAAACTATCCATACACATTTCACTACATAACTTTTTTTTTTTGCTTTCTTTGACATCGTTTTGACATCACGTGACTTAAGAAAATCGTTAAAAGATGCTCTTGACCTTTCGAGTAGTACTTCTCACTCCGAGGTCCTACGATCGAGTGTCAAGTAGAACAGACAAAACGTCGAGAGAAGACGGGTCCTGGCAGGTCCTAGGCTTCGCCGTTAATTAATTTGCACGGTGYTTTATTAGATGACGCTGCAAATTTTAAAAGATAAATTTTATCMTTCAATGAATCGTGAATTCAAGTGAATAGACTCCAAGTCCTCTCCTCGATACTTGATCGACCATGATTAGCGTTAATGATTAATTTCGACTCAAATTGCTTCAAATCTGTTGTTTTTGTTTTTTTGTTTTTTTTGCTGAGATTTCTCTTGTTTTTCTGTGATCCTTTGGCATAGTAAGATGGCGGTTATTTGTTTTGAAGAACGCGATTAAATCATGTAGCATCATTCCTCTGAATAGAATATATAGATAGAATTTCCCTGCTAGCAGAGGCTTACACGGTAAATTCTGTCACGTAAAAGTAAAGTAAAAAAAAAAGTAAAAAAAGTAAAAAGTAAAGTAAGTACTTTTACGTGACAGAATTTACCGTGTAAGCCTCTGCTAGCAGGGAAAGATAAAATAGAATAAAATATATCATAGCGAATCCCTGTAGTTTAGTGCACTCCATTCCAGAATTTACCAATGTTTACCAAAGAGAGTCAAAGTCCACATGCTAGAATTAGAGCGGAAATGACACCGAATGCCTAAGTGTTCAGCWCAGATGCTTTCTGGGGCAGGTGAAGGGGAAATATAATGCGTTATAACGTCACATCAAAACATTATATTGTTTTAACGCTAAGGATTATGGTCGCCAGAAGGGATCAGAGTGACTGCATTTCAAATAAAATGTACATGAACAATCATTTATACATGATATATATCAAAACACGATTCACTGAAGTTCTACTTTAGTCGACAATATAAATGGGTCCAAATTTCCGCTGTTTTTGAGCATCGTTTTCCCGATGTAAACATACTGTGACGTCATAATGAAATAGGGCAATTTGAGAAAGGAACATGTCACTAAATGGTTGTACCATATACCGGATATCCCTACTATTCTCTCTCTCTGCCAGTAAATGTATCTCGACTGCTTTCTAGGGARGATGAAGGGGAAAATAATGCTTGGACAATTTGGGAAGAGGAACACGTAACCAAATGTTTGTACCACATCCCGGATTTCCCTTCTCTTATTTAAATTGCCATACCGAGTTTGACATTTGTCTTCCATATCTTCCTATTTCCCTTATAAAAATTCTCTTGCGGAAAGTTTGAGTTTGGTTTAGAAAACCGTTTATGACGTGAGGTGGATATAAAGTGCTATTTTGTTTAATGGCTTCATGTTTTAAGAGCATTCATGTCTGAACGGAGTTTGAGTTTGACATTTGTCTTCCATATCTTCCTATTTCCCTTATAAAAATTCTCTTGCGAAAAGTTTGAGTTTGGTTTAGAAAACCGTTTATGACGTGAGGTGGATATAAAGTGCTATTTTGTTTAATGGCTTCATGTTTTAAGAGCATTCATGTCTGAACGGAGTTTGAAGTGCGTCAAACATATTATCAAACCCATATAGTGCGTCAAACATATTATCAAACCCATATAAGCAGACGTTATTAAGAAAAGGAACTGGTGTAACAGCCTTGTCAGCAGAATTTCATGATGATAATGATAAGGAAAATCCTCCTCAGCAGACGTAGATGTYGAGGAGGTCCGACACTAGTCAAGAAGATGAACGAGGARTGTTTGGCCACCCAAGACTTTATGTGCTTACTAAACCAGCAAACACAGCATCTCCTAACAGACCCTAACAATGCTCTTTGGTATTGAGCTCTTCAAATAAAGARGAATTGTTTGGTCACCGARCACAACCAAGCATTGTTTGACGACTTTGAAGGACCACCAAGCAAAAAGGCCAACAGTCCATGTTTGATGGTGCGTGAGATWAGCAATTCAAAATGTCGTCCGCTAAATTCGTCTTCCTTATTTTTTCATGCATAAATTTCCTTCTATGCAAG